CTCCCCTAACAGCCCTGCTGCCCCAGCAGAACCCTGGTTGGCTCTGTCAGTTGCATGGTCTAGCAGACAAGTGAGGGGACAGTGAACCCCGCTCACCCCAGGACTCTCCTGTCCTTACTGCCAAGCATCCCCATCATCACAGACATCCAGAAACCACCTGGTCTTCCCAGAGGCAGAGCCTACAGGAGAAGGTATCAAGCACTTTACCAGGTGCAGAGAGCAAAACGTGGGGGCAGATTGTACAACCACAGCAAGCAGAGGTCAAGATTCATGCATGCATAGGACAAAAGCTGGAGCCTGGTCCCGAGTCCCTCATTATCAACACACACACACACACACACACACACACACACACACACGACCAATGGCCTTGCACTATAGCAACTGCCACAGGTTGAGCCCACAGAAGCATGGTCCACTGGTGAGAGTTCCAACAAGAACGCTTTTTTTTTTTTTTTTTTAAGACAGAGCCTCAAGTTTTAGCCCTGAGTAGAGTACCGTGACATGACAGCTCATAGCAACCTCAAACTCCTGGGCTTAAGCGATTCTCTTGCCTCAGCCTCCCGAGTAGCTGAGGTGCCTGCCACAATGCCCAGCTATTTTTTGGTTGTAGTTGTCATTGTTTGGCAGGCCCCGGCTGGATTCAAACCTGCTAGCTCTGGTGTATGTGGCTGGCGCCTTAGCTGCTTGAGCTACAGGTGCCACCCCCAACCAGAACTCTTGAGCACAGGGACTGTTTGATCTGAGGCTATAGTCATGTGCCACACATGCACACTGCACACGCATGTGCACACTGCATACACCCAGGCACAGGAATAGCCACACAGCTGGAAACAGAACAGCTGCCTCAGAAGAGAGTTCTCCTTCTCCAATGCCTTCACTCCATAGCGGGGGTGAGCCCAGAAGGAGGAGCCAGTTCCCCTTTCCCAGGTCCCAAGCTACCCCTGGTGGGGGGTCTTCCTCAAAGGAAGTTCTCAGGACCTGTGCTGGTAGAGGGGAAGCCCCTTAAAGGGCACTTCCCTCTGCACTGGAGGCCCTACCAGAGACCCATATCACCCCCCTCTGCTGAGCCACAGGCCCAGGCCCAGGCTCAGCCCTGCCCCAGCCCAGCAGACACAGGTGGGCACACAGTCTCCCCTCCCACTGGTAACTATCCCTGGGGTGACATCTCACATTTTTGAGCCTTTTTTTTTTCCTGTAAAGAGCAGGTACTTCCTGGAACTCTGGGTGGAGAGGGCAGTCAACACCCAAATGGGGGTGCCAAGGCTAGGAGGACAGGAAAGGGGCACACTCCTTCCTCACTCAGGCCTCTGATGGGGAGAACTTGGCAGCCCCCCAGCTCTGAAGTGGGGAAGGCCTGGGGCTATTCCTGCAGCTGCTTTCACCCCTTCTGTAGTGCTAGGCAGTCCATGATGCCACTGGGCTAGGCACGGTGGACCTCAGGAAGGAAGCACAGCAGCAGCGGGGGTGAGATGGGGGTCACTGGCCAGAGGCAGAGCAGAGAGACAGCCATCAAGACCTGGGGTGAATTGCCCCCCCATGCTTCAGCCTACAAGGGCTGGTTTCTGAGCCCTGACCTGGTAATCTCCATCTCCATCTCCATCTCCACCCAGAGACGCTGAGGGCACAGGCTGGCTGCACCAAAGAGGCTCAGTTCATCACCCAGGGGCAGGTGGGAGGCTGGTTTTAAATCAACTTTTTTCCATTTCCACTCTGCAGGCAGTAAAGAGCTTGGGCTCTTCTCTTTGTAGGGATCAAGGGGTGTGTGTGGGAGGGGCTGGAAAAAGCCAACAGCAGTTTCTGCCAGCCCAGCCAGGCCCTCTTTTCCCTGCCTAGAGAGGCTCTCCCCACAGGACAACGCCATCATGCCCTTTTCTGTTTTAGCCAGCAAAGCCCACAGTGGTGTCCCAGTAAGGCACAGGTGAAGTCAGGCAGGCAAGTCCACTCAGGCACAAATCTCTACCTCCCCAGGAACCCCCAGGTGGGAGCCCCCTCCCCCAGCTGCAGGAAGGACTTTCTAAGGCAGGCAACCTCCAGCCCTAACCTGCAGGGGGGTGGGAAGGGGTTCAGGGTGGGGTGGGAACCAGGAACACAGAGGATGCCTCCTACTTCAGTAAGGAGGAATGTTGCAGGGGGAGGCTCTAGGAAGGGGGGGGGGGTGTCAGAAGCTTAGACCAGGCAGTGGAGGGGCCAGCCCCAGCCCTAAGAGATCAGTCCTCCTGCAGCCCAGACACTCCCGATTCCCTAGGCTGCCCGTACCCATGCTGTCGCTGCCACTGCCCCTAGGCCCTAGGGATTGCCCTCCTAACAGTTGGCCAGGAGAGGAACAAAGGAGGGCGCAAAGGCAGGGGCCAGGCTGGGTAGCACCAGAATCACTCCGACCCTGGTCCCCTGCCCAGTTTTTGTGAAAGCCCCCGGCAGGGGCAGAAACACTTCCTTTCTCTGCCCTGGCTCCTAGTGCAGAGGGACAGGCCAAGGGCGCCCCTGTGGCTCTCAGCCAGGTAGCCCTCAAGGAGGCTTCAGGGGAGGTTCTAGGACCAACCTTCAGGAGCTGGGTGAGGAGTATTTGGGCAGTGCCCAGGCCAGGACAAGATGGCCGAGGCTGGAGGAGATGCCCACTCAGTGCCAGCCCTGGGCAGGCTTCTGGTGTGTGGGCTGGCTAGGAGAGGCCAGAGCACTTCCTTGACAAAGTGGGGGTGGGGGTCTCCTTCCAAAAGGAGCAGGCCACCCCGCCCAAGGTGGCTCAGAGGGAGGGGCACATACCTGACTTAGCTATGCCAGGAATGTGGCTCCCCAGGCAGAGAACAGAGGAAGGAGGGGCCTTCCTGGGGGCTGAGGACTGGGGGAGGAGCAGGAAAGACCCTGCAGGCTGGTAAGGGAAACTGAGGAAGGCCCAGCATGTCCGTCCAGGATGCTCTGGCTGAGGGTGCTCCAGGACAAGGATACCTGAGGCCTTAGGGTGACCTCTGCAGACTAGGGACTGCCCAGACCTTACCACATGCCCTGGGCATAGGTCACAGACAGAGAGGGTCAGCTTGGCCCAAGTCCTGCCCTTCTACCCCCCCACTAGGATGGAGCCTTGGCCACCAAAGGGGCCTCAGGTAGGGTTCTACAGAATAGGAACCCCTCCTAACCTAGTGCACAGACTCCAGGGACCTTAACCCTTAGGGCGCAGGGGAGCCTGGAAGAAGCAGCAGCAGCAGCAGCTACTCTCCCCTGGGCTCTGGGAGGCCTTCACCCTGTCCAGCATGCAGCCCTATTCCTGTCAACTGGGCCCAGGACCACTTCTAAAGCAGAAATCCACATTGCTAGCTCAAAGCTTCCAGGGTCCCCAGCACCTTACACATTCTGCTCCTCTGCTGGGGGGCTCCCCCAAACCCCACTCTACCTACAGACCTTCCTCCTTGGCCAGCCCCACCCCAGTGGCTACAGACTGGTTCATGGGTCCCAGTCCCCAACTGGAGCTCACTCTCTACCATAGCAGGTCAAATCACACCCCCTCCCAGTGGTTCTACTTAGCCTGGACACTCAAAAGCTCCAAAGCCAGGGCCTGGCATGTTGAGATCAGGTTCTTGAAAGACGCTGGACCCTGTTCTACTCAGGGTCACCCCCCCCCCCAGCCACACGCCCTCTGACCCCATAGAAGTCCTCAGTCTGAGTCACAGATCTGGTATGGTCTTGATGATGCCTCCTTCTGACATTACAGGGCTAGACTGACAGCGCCATAACCTTCCTTCTCTGGCCTTTCTCAGCTCCCCCTACACAACCCCCAAACCAGGCATCTCTTTCTCACAGCCTGTCCTGGCTCCATGATACCTCTGGCCTCTCCCCAGACTAGAGCTTCTAGAACAGTCAAATCCTCACCCAGAAGGAGGTCCAGGCTAGAACCCCCGAGCCAGCCCCAGGAGCTCATGACTACAATCTGGGAGAGGCCACAGGACTCCCCATTTGGGGGGGCTGCCCTTCCCCCACAATCTCCCCAGGCAAACATGAGAACAGGAAGAAAAGATGAGGCCCCTCCACTCCCCCGCCCCGCATCTTGCAGACAGCCCCTAAGAGCCCAGCCAGCATCAAGGCAGTGAGGTGGAAAAAAGCCAAGACTTTCCTGGTGGCACGGGAGCAGGTCAGAGGGACAGGAAGTCATGACTGTGGCTGCTACTCTGGTAAGGAAGTATTCTCCTGTGCCCCCCACCCAAACATCCCTTCCCAGGCAACCATGAGGGAACAGACAGGATATGAGGTGACAAATAGTTCCTATATTTTCTTTGCCACATTCTCCAGCCAAGTATCTCAGCCCCCAACTGGACTGTCTCCAAGCCAGTGGGGAGCCTTTCTGCTCACCCTCCCCCTAGGGGCTGGGCTGGGAAGGGGCTCTGCAGGCCAGGAAGCCAAGTCACAATAGACATGTGGGAACAACAGGCAAGGAAATGTTCTTCCCCTCATTTAGGGACCCCACACCCATCCAAATCCCTAGAAGTCCTCATCCCACAGAGCTGCTCTGCTCAGAAATGACAGGCCTCTTGGAACACACCAAGACAGCCCCACCATCCACCCCTATGCCCTGCTACATGGAGTTTGCCCAGCATGTGGGCGGGATCTAGATAGCTGTTTGGGTTTCTGCAGGAAAGTAACAGCTGGTGTTCCTTCACCTGGTTCCCAGCTTTTCCCCCCTAAAAGGGCCTCCAGGAGGAAATGCAGAGTTGGGAGGAGGGGCAGAGGAGGCTTGTTCCTTTGTAGCACTGGGACTTGCTTCAGCCCCAAGATGAAAGATGGCTAATGTCAGAGCTTGAGGCTGCTGACCTTAGGATAGAAGCCAGGAAGCCAGGGAGCGGGTAGCAGGAAATGAGGTCAGATCACAAGACACCACCTACTATAGCCCACAGCACACTCCTTGGCACCACTTGGCACTCCAGTCTCCATGGAGCATGATGGTGCTGCCCCTCAAAGTGACCTCTGCCATGCCAGTCACTCCCTCTGCATCTCCCATCCCCAGCATGTACCTTCTACACAGAACTCCACTTCCTCCAGGTTCCGCAGGGTGATCCGCATGAGGCTAGAGTTGAGCATCAGCTCATTCTTGTGAGCTGGCCACAGGTATGGGGGCGCAGGGTTCACAAAGAAGATCCTAGTGTCCCCAGTAGACACCTGGTTGTCACAGATGAGGGGGTCTCCAAAGCCACTGATCACCACCTTGTTGCCCCCATCCAGTAGGCTCTCCCGGGCCACCAGGTCTCTGCCCTTCAAGTACCGCCAGACCCGAACCTGGAGTGGATATGGGTGTTATCTTGCTACTGGGGAGAGGGGGGTGGCCTTGGGGCTGAGGTTCTCCTCCTCTCTGGCCTCAGGTGCTCAGGCAAATGTCCACAGTAGACATCTGGGCAGAGATGTACAGAGATCTTTAGGTCAGCCCTCTGGGTAGAGGAAGGCACACACCTACTGGACACTGCCACCCATGTGTGAACACTCACCAGTGAACACACACCCTTCCCCAGGTCTAATCAACCCCAGCCACTCAACTCCAGTAAGATCCATCTCAGTGCAGGCAGAATTTCAGAAGGGACCCATCTGGTGTGGGATGCTTGTCCTGCACACTTTCTCTCTCCCTGTTTGCATCCCACTAGTTAGGTCTACTTGGACCCACCCAGGCAAAGCCAGGATCAGTGACCACACAAGGAGGAGGTTCAGGGCAAAGGGCCAGCTGGGCTCCTTGCAGCCATGTGGGTAGGCTAGGATACCCTCCTCCCCCAGGAAGTGAAAGCCCCCTCCTCCCAATGGGCTCCCACAGTCTATGCAGTCCATATAGCCCATGAACCACAAAATCAAGTTTGGGCAACACAGGCCAGCCCCACCCTCCTCCCTCTCAGCTCCTGGGCCCCCAGGGCACCTGCTCAGAGAACTGTGCCCAGGGGACATCCACAGGAACATGGCTCCATGAGACACAGATCCACCCACTCCCTAAGAAGTAAGCCCAGAGAAAAACCCCCGTCTTTAGGATACCTGGGGGACAGGGCTTCTAGGATGGGGGGCTTACAGACCATGGGTGGTCTGTCCAGCCCCCACTGGAGCCTCAAGACTGCAGTGTGCTGTCTTGGGCAGAGCCCCATCCAGCCCCTCACAGTAGGCTCTATAAGGGTGATAACCCAGCCAAGGGGGGCCTGGCAGCTTTCATAGCCTCCCCCTACCCCAGCCACACCCAGAAGCGGCAGGGAGGAAGTCGGGAAAATCCTGCAGGGACTTGGCAAAGTGCCCTGGCAGTCAAGGAGAGGTGGGGGCCAGAAGGGGGTATCCCAGCTGTAGCCCACACAGGTCAGTTTCAGAGAAGCTGCCGCCCTCCCCATTTTCAGGGAGGCAAAGGAATGATCCGACTTCTGGTACCCGGGGGTGGTCTTGGGGCCATAGAAGGGAGGGGCCCTGGGCTCCCCAGTCCTGTTTAGAAGATTGTGAGAAACCCCCTACACCTATCCCTGGGGGTGCCCAGGCCTGACTGAAGGAAAAGCAGGGCAGTTCTCCCTACCTGTAGTCCCCCCTCTGGCCAGAGGAACCCCTGGCCCCCGCTCTTACCGGAGCCTCATGGGCCCCCAAAGTACTGGCAAAGCGGCAGCCCCGCCCACTCCTCTGCCCCTGCCCCAACCCCCACCCCACCACTGCGGCACCCCCCACCGGCTCCGGGGTCTAGGAAATCAGACTCTGCGCGCCTCTCTTCTGCCCACTCCCTCTCTTCTCACCCTGGTGAGGGCCTCTGGGGAGAGGAGTGGCAGCACTGACTACAGGCCCAGCCTCCGTCCCCTCCCCAAGTCTCCGTTCCTTTACTACTGCTGGCGGGGGTTGAGGGGCGTAGGGAGGTGGTGAAGTAGCCACACGTACCCCCTGGGGGTGAGATGCACTTGTTTGCAATAAGGGAGTGGGCCGGGGGCGCACACGACTAGGCCTTCCCGGCCTGGACACCTCGTTGGGGGTGGGTGGGTGGAGGGACCGCAGTAGCACCGCAACTTTCCCCCGACGCTTCCGAGTTTTCTGGGACCTGGCGCCCACCGGGGGCTTGGTGGTCGCCAAGGGAGCCGGACCCGGGGCTGCGGAGCGTCCCGGGCTCATTCTCACGGCCTGGGGCAGGGGTCTCAGCGGGGCGGCAGACACCATGAGCGGAGGGCCTCCGGGCTCCGGGCTGGTATCCGCAGGGGGAAAGGTCCCCATCCCAGGCTCCCGGGGTTAGGGGGCTCAGGGTCCCAGGGGTCCCGGCGGGGCCCACCTTGCAGGAATACGTGTGCTGCACCGGGTCTACGTTGAGAATCTCCACCACTGTGCCGGTGAGCACCACATTAGCCTCTTCCTCGCGCCGCTCCAGCGCGCGCTCCGGGCACGTCCCGCCAGCGCCGGGCAGGGCGCGCGCGGCTACCACCAGAAGCAGCAGCAGCGGCAGCAGCGAGGCCGAGCCGGACGGCCGCAGGCTGGCCATGGCGCAGCCGAGGTCGGCGAGAGGCGGCCAGAGAGAAGGCGCAGGCCGGGCCGCGCCGGGGACGGGACTGGACAGGACAGGACACAGCTCCAGGAGGCGGCTGGCGCGCAGGCGGCGCGGGGGCGGGACGGGGGCGGGACCCCGGGCAGCACCGCCCCCTCCCCGGGGGCTAGTGCCCGCCCTGGCCGCCCGGCGCCCCGCGACCCGCGCCGGCTTGGAACAAAGCACCGGGACGACGGCTACGGGCGAGGCCGCATGGGGCGGGGGCCGGGCCGGAGGGGGAAGGGGTGCCCCTGCTGAGGGAGGGACCGGGGGCGGGGCGGTCCAGGGGCTCTCCATCTGCAGCGCCCCCCCTCCAGGAAATGCGGCTGGAATCCGGTTAATGAATAATCTAGAGGCGACGTGACGGGACTTCCAAGGAGCGCCAGGCGGCGCCGGAACCGGGTGGCCGAGGCTCGCTGCTGCAAGGAGGGACCGTCAGAACCCGTCTGGTAACCCGGGAGCCCTACGGACTGCGTTCTCCCGGCAGGAACGCAGCCCGCGGTTGTCCGAACAGGGGTCGAGGTCTTTGAACGCGGGACTCGGGCACGGCACGGCCCACCCCAAGCCGCCGGGCCTGCTGCTGGGAGTAGGGCGCCTCCTGCCGCCGCACTGCCTGAAGCTCGGGTCTACGCCGCTCCCGCCCCTCGACGGCGTTGCTCCGCCTGGGTCTGATGCGGCTGGGAAATTGAAATTCAGGTTAGAGCCTTGAAGCCGCTGAAGACCGAGAAGACCAGAGTGGGACCCCTCACCCCAGCCAGCTGCAGGTCTCTGAGCCAGAAGCACAAGGCCTGAGAAGAAGCCGGTCCAATGGAGGTCCCCGCTCCTGGGGTGGGGGGAAGTTCAGGGAGGGCGGCTGCGCCGAGGGTTGTTTCTCACACTTGCCAGGTTGCCACTGAAAACGGGCTGAGGCGTCATCCAGGACACCCGGTGGAGCCAGGAGGCCATGCTGGGCACTCAGGTGCTGCTTCTGCGCGCAGTATCTCAGACACAGTGGGGGTGGAGGTGTTGCGGCCCAGATCTGGACTCCCGCCCCCCCCCCCCCCCCCCC